TTTCTATTGGTGACTCAGAGGTTGTCAAATGGCTGCTAGAACACATTCCTGATGATGATTTTTCTATTGAATCGAAAATAATCGAAGATGCCTGGAAAAGTGGTAAAATTGAAATCATTGGATTATTATTGAAATATAATAAAATAAATAAAAATAATTTATCTGTAGGTATAGTCAATGAACGATTTGAAAACAATGAAACTTTCTTGCATATAGCTTCCCGCTTTGGATACGCTAAGTCAGTATCATTGTTAGTTTCAAATATCGGAGCCAATGTTAATGTGAAAGATGCGGAAGATCGATCGCCATTATACAGAGCAGTTGAATATAATCAATACCCTGTCATTGAAATTTTGGCTGTTAGAGGTGCTGATATGAAAGCTGAACCGCTGTTGGCATTAGCTGTCCGTAAAGGTTATCTAGAAACCATAAAATATCTTTTAAATTTTAAAGCTCCTTTTCAAGTCAAGGATATTGATGGAGAGTTGCCATTTTTTATAGCTGCTAACAGAAATGATATTAAAATTTTGGAAATAGTTGGTAGTATCAATGGTCCCAAGAATGATATTATCAATTCTACCAATGACTTTGGTGATACCTTAATCCATGTTGCAGCCTCTAAAGGATTCATCGAATCCGTAAAAACTCTTTTTTACTTGGGTGTTCCTGTAAATGCAATAAATAATTTCGGCGAATCAGTTCTTTATAAATCTATTGAGAGTCAAAATCTAGAAGTGATTAATTTCTTGATAGAATCCAATGCTGATATAACTATATCTACTAAAACAGGCGATACAATCATGCATCTTGCTGCTTCTTTAGGGAATTTGGATATCATAAAATTTTTATCATCAAAGAAAGTCCGATGCCCAATCGATATAAGAAATGCTCAAGGTGAAACTCCTGTTTACAAAGCAGCAATAACTGGTAACTCTGAAATTTTAAAGTATCTTGTCGATAATGGTGGCGACCTTTTTAGCAATACGCAGGGAATGACAATGCTACACGATGCAGCTGCTGAAGGAAATGAAAGAGCTATTTCCTGTCTTATTGACAGTGGTTTAAAAGTTGACGCACTTGGATTCTGGGATGCTACTCCTTTACACCTGGCTATAAGTCGTGGCCATCGAAGAATCGTGCAAAGACTTCTTGAAATGAAGGCCAATCCTAATAGTAAAACCAAGAACCTTTGGACCCCACTCCATCGAGCTGTTTTAAGAGACGATGCTTATTTAATTAAACTCCTGATCGACAATGGTGCTGATATTGCTGTGGAAAATGGTGCTGGTGACTCACCTTATACCTTAGCATTAAAGAACAATAAATTGAAAGCTGCTGATGTATTCCGTTCAGTAATTAAAGGACTTAAAACCTAAGTGATCCAAATTAAAATAGTTAAAAAGCTATTGTGTCGTGTACTAAATAGTTAATATATCACTATGACATTAAATTATTTGATATGTTACAGAAATTTTTAATTTTCAATTTAATAAAATTTTCTCAGAAATTAATATTTTTATTGTTTAAGTAAGAAATGTAACGATCTCTTGTATAAATATGTTTCATAAATAAAGTTGTTTTTTTGTTTTAGGTGTTTTTGAAAATTTCCAGAAATTTATTAGGTTCTAAGTAATAATGGCATGCCCAAAAAAAAAAATCTGAATAGTTTTTAAACATAATAAGCTAGTTCTTACTTAAATAATGAATACTAGCTGGCCCATGCAAATAATTGGTATAAAATGTTTGTCAGTGATCAATTAATACTGAATATGTTAATGAAATCTATTATTTTGTGGATCAATATATTTTCCTTTTTTTGGTTGAATTAAAATAGTTCATTCATAATAATAAACCACAAGTTTTGTACAATTTACTGTACTCTACATCTTTGCTCATAATGGTCCCATTCCAATATTTTTTTTTTATTTTGCTGGGAATTTTATAATCTTTTAATTATTCATGAATTTTTTTTTTTTTTTTTTTTTTTTTTTCGGTTGGCACTACAGACCATGAAGATCTTTGGCCGCTAGATGTGGTCTCCTTACAGACATATGTTGCTTACGGTAGCTCAGATAGCCTGGAGGAGGTCACTCAACCTCACGTTGCTACAAACCATGGTGCAGCAGCAGTCCACCCATAGCTCCATAGCATATCCCTTTGGGGCCAATCTGGCAGTGTCCTTCCCACTGACTCAATCGGGTTCAAGGACAGTGCCAAATCGGTCTAGATCCATGGATTATGGCTGCTTGGAGTCAGCAGGCACATGATTGGTGTAAGTTGCCTCCAGTAGGCTGATGGGCCTCACATACTGGGGGGAGAGACTCGGGCAGCATGGCTTTCCCTGGTGGACGGTCACCCAAACCATGCAGGAAAGAAACTTAGATGCCCCCTTTGTCAATAGGTGTTCATGTGTTAGCCTTGAGTGTCCGATTCTTGTCATGCTAAGCTGATATCTTTTATTCTTTTCAACTAGAGTTGCACTCTATTTTTTACCACAGAGCTGGAAATAGTAATTTTTATATTAATCAGAATCCATGACAACATTGGCATCAAGATTTCCTATCACGAGTATAAGGTTGGGCTCAAACAGTAAATGGAAAACTGTAAATTTTAGGGCTTTAAAAGGAAATAACTTAATCTTAAAAATTGTCACAGTTATCCTTTAATACATAAATATCAGAAATTATGAAAATAGTTTTCGAAAATCATACGTATAAAAATGATAATTAATATTTTATAACACTTCATTGAAAACAATATTAGAAGCAATAATACATAAATTACAATAGGCTGTATCTTTGTAAATAATAGTCCGATTTCCCTGGTTTTTTCTTCGTTTTGTATGGAATTAAGTAAATTTTCAAATAATAATGAGTCTAATCCAGAAAAAAATGTATAATTTTTAAGTAATAATATACAGGATGTCCCGTAAGTAGATGGAAATATAGGAGTGACAGCAGATCTCAAGAGATACAAAAAAGTTTGTATGAACAAAGAGATTTTTAGAAGAAAAGTAGGATATTAAAGTTGTTTGTGTTTTTAAGTAAGTCATTTTTTGTTAATACAAAGCAGTGCCTCTCTTTATCGGCTTTCGCCATCAGAGATCTTGCAGCCCAGTACCATTCCGATTTAGACGACATGGTATTTCTTATGCCCAACAAGCGTGAGCATACGCCTAAATGCGCTGCGTCCATATGTGCTCCCAAATTACATGGGTTGCAATGTGGAGAGTCTGCCACTCCTATTCTATGCAGGTGCTTCCTAAGGTAATCGTGGCCTGTTATCATCCACAACTCTGCCACAGCCTCCTTTCTCGGCAGGTTCATGAAAACTCGATCCGCTTCATTAAACATATTTCTCCTCTACTTTTCCGCAATACTGCTCTTTACGGAATACGGTAATAGAGTCTCACTGGCCTTATTTATTTTTTGGCTCTTTGATATAATATTTCATTTTCTGGCTGGTTCAATGCGGATCCTTCCTTGGCGAGTTTATCAGCCATTTTGTTTCCATGAAAACCGCAGTGACTTGGTATCTACTGAAAGAATACCTCTGTTCCTTGAAGAAGTAGTTCCTCTATGATCTTTAGGCACTTCAGAATATCCTGAGCAAAAGAGTCATTTTTCTGTGACACAGCGAGAATAGCTGCCTTTAAATCCACAAACAATACGAGATCTTTGGCATCTAAGTGTGACAAGGCTTGCAGTGTCAATAAAATTGCTCTTATTTCGCTATCGAAATTTGAGGCCCATTTTCGAGGTCCATCGGTTTCAGTTGAGAGTATGCACCCCCATAGTGTGTTACTTGTCCAGCAGATCCATCGGTGTACTCGTTGAGCGGCTAAACTAAGCTAAGTTCTGTTTAAAAATAATAATAAATTACATGAGATTTTATTCTTTATCATCCTCCAACTATACTACTGATACCGCTCTTTTAGGATACTGATAGGTTCTTTTAACTGTATTTTCACAAAAAATGATAAAAACTTTTTATTTCATAAAAAAAAAAAATGTTAAAAATAACGATTATTCGATTATTCATCATCTAAATTGGTAATAAAAATGTGGTTTTTACTAAGATCTTCATGAAAGAAATTGATTCGTATTTATAAGTTATGAAATAAATGTTTCTAGTCTTAAAATTTACGTTTAAAATAAAAAACCTGCTGATTGCTAGGTTTAAATATAATTATTTATTTTTACTTTTTTTTTATTTTAACTGATCACCCCAACCATCCTTCTATTCAATTATTCACTACAGCCAATCATCAATCCTCAATTATTATACTTAATAATATATAGATTATATATAATAATTATTAAAAAATCACTCACAAAATTATGAATAACCTAAATTAGGTTGTTTATCATTATTCTAGATTTTATTTATTCCTGATTCTATATCTCAATCTTGAAATTTGGTATGAATCTAACAAATGTATATTGGATATATATATAAGATAAAGACCGGAGTCTGATGATATCTGCCTTAATACCATCTTAAAATATAAACAACATGCCTTTTCCTTTTTTTTTTTTTCTGTTATTTAAGTTCACCGACGCTTAACTTATGTATATATATATATATATATATATATATATATGTACATAAGTTATATATTTTCTTAGTTTTTCTTTATTCATAGTTCTTATATATATATATATATATACATACACATATAAGGTTCTTATGTTACATATCAAATGAAAACCCATACAATTGGCTTTAAAATGATCTATTAGATATCTCTTTAGTTATTTACCATTGGTTGTAAATCTATGAGTATTTTTTAATCAAATTCATCTGTTTCCAAACATTTTTTTAAATTGGTTTTTAAAGATTACTCTACAAAAAAAATTAAAAATAGATTTGTAATGTATTAAATTGTATTCATTTATTGTATGTATTAAATATAATTAAATTATAAGTTTAAACTATTCAAGAATTTCTGGATATTCTTTAAATCTCCAAACTATATATAATTAAATTATAATATAGATAATATAGCAATACTTTTGTTATAATCAATTTACAAAACTCGATTAAATAGGAAAAATATTATGAAGCCATTATCTAATCATTTATTATTTTAAAATCAAGTGGAAAACACGTCTTCAACTGGATGGTTACATGAGACCCATCGGATTTTTACATGGAACTTGATGCATTATTGGCAATCTGCAAATAAAATAAATTAATAACATTAGCAGTAATAATATAATAATAAATTGTAAAGTTTTTAAATTATAGTTTTTGGAAATGATGATTATTTACCCTGGACCTTTACAACAGAAGACAGTTTCGCAGCAGCTGAACATGTAAGGGCAGCACATTGTGGGGTTGCAATTTTTCAATTCAAAGCCTTGCCACATTGCTAAACAGACAATGGTAATTTTCTAAGATACCTGCTTTTGATCCATAAGTAATGGTGTGATCGAAATAACTTAACAACCTAAAATAAGGTACTGCTTGAAAATATCATTTAACATGTTAGGAACATAACACCAATACTGAAATCAATCCTTCACTTGAGCATCAGTTAAGGTAGTTGAATGAATTTACTTAGCATTATTAAAAGAAAATTAAAATTCAATATGGGGAGGTAAAATTTAAAAGTTTTCCTCAATTTTACGGATATGTTCACTGCCTAGAGGTCTATGCTGTATTCACCAGGGACCCATTGTATGGCCCATTGCGATTCTAGCGGAACAAAAGTATAAAAACCATGGTTCTGATAATAAAGTATTTCCTTTTAATCCAGATTAATCAGTGAAATCATTAAAAACGTCAATGAATGATTTTTAAACGACTTTATATCTAATACTAGCATGGTTTTTACAGTTCATGAAAAAAAAACACAAATATAACATTACTATGATAGAATATCAATTAGACCTATATACACTGACAGGCAAAAAATTCCACCCACTTGATTTTTTCATGTTTTCATCTAAAAATATTTCTGCTTTGGATTGGTCTGTTGTTTTTAATGAATAAATCGGTAATCTTTTTGTTTGTTTTCAATTATGAATGTTAATATAGAGGGCAATAACCCTTAATCCTTAATTCAATGAAATGATTCTAGATTTCAATGTTTACTCTCTATGGAATCAAAATGTTTATTCAGTATCATTAGTTCAGTGCCGTTTCTTGCAGCACATTTCTTAGTCTCCGGCTTTTAATTTTTTAAATATTAAGTTTAAAAATGCCTCTTAGTGCTGAGGATGTTGAGCGTGGTGTGGCACTTATTGATGATGGACGTTCCATTAGATATGCAGCTAATGCCATCGGAGTTCCATATGAAACTTTACGAGACGCCGTCAGGCGTTTTCGGGAAACTGGTTCTTACAATAGAAGGCCCGGTTCTGGACGGCCTAGGGTAACAGAACCACGGGATGACCGGTTTTTTACTTTGAGAATTTTACGAAACCGGCACCTTACCGTTGTTCAAGCGATTCATCAGCTCGAAGAAGTTCTGAACGTACCGCTCGGAGAAGATTAAATGAGTATGGATTAATGGTTTTTCGTCCAAAAAGAGGAGCAGAGTTGACCAGAACTCACAGAGTAACACGGCTGGCTTTTGCTCGAGAACACAGTCATTGGACTATGGACGAATGGAGTACTTTTTACAGATGAGTCAAGATTCGCTCTTCGATCTCCAGACGGGCGTGAAAGGTGTGGAGAAGAAGAAACGAAAGATATGCAGCCTGTAATTTTTCCCTGAGCCAACCTTTCCAGCATGGTTCCTTAATGGTGTGGGCTGGGATTTCAATGGAGCGCCGCACGGAATTGGTTGTTGTTCGTGGAGTGTCTTTGACGGCCATTCGCTATGTAGATGAGATTTTGGAACCTCATGTGTTGCCTATCCTCAACGAAATGTCGCCCGCATAGTGCAGACGTTCCTTCAACAGAACAATATTGAGGTTTTAGCCTGGCCAGCACGTTCTCCAGATTTGAACCCCATTGAGCATTTATGGGATAACCTCGGAAGACGAATAAGAGCGCGTTGCAACACTTCCTGATACACTGCAGGACCTTGAAAGGGCTCTTCGGTAGGAATGGGCTATCCTCCAGCAAAGGGACATTTCCCGACTGGTGGAAAGTATGCCGAGGCGTCTTCAAGAAGTAGTGAAGGCAAGAGGAGGAAACACCCGCTACTAAACGATGATGTAATTAATTTCTTTTAGAATTATAATGGTTCGTTTTTCAATTTTTTTTTCTCTAATCTTTCTTACCCAATCACATTTTGATTATCAAAGATAAAAAAGGGTTATTGTCCTCTATATTAACATTCCTAATTGAAAACAAACAAAAAGATTACCTATTTATTCATTAAAAACAATAGACCAATCCAAAGCAGAAATATTTTTAGATGAAAACATGAAAAAATCAAGTGGGTGGAATTTTTTGCCTGTCAGTGTAGATATATTTTTCATAATCATGTACAAGGGCTTACGCAGCTTTCATATTAGGGGTTGACAAGACTGAATAAAGGAAAATCTCGGGTAGATAAATGATTTCAAACTCTTTAATATTATACTTAGTAATTGATTGTTAATACAGTTTATAATTTATTTTTTAGATCCATAGTTTCCGATTTCAGACCCATCTCCAATCTTTCAAAGCCTCTTGAAAGAATAATCCATTCACAGATTAATACCTTCCTTGAGCAAAACGCTCTCCTCAATCCCTTCCAGTCTGGTTTCCGATCCCAGTTATCCACCCAATCCGCTTTGCTGAAAATTTCCCAGGTCGTTCATTTCTCTGTAGACAAACGAAAAATCTCTATCCTTTTTGATTTTTCAAAGGCTCCGTAAATTACGAGATTCCAATTCTCAAATTTGTTTATTCCTTCTCATAGAAAGAAAATCCTTCGTCATACGTGCTTCCTCGTTTTGGAATTCCCTACCAAGTTCTACTCGGAAATCCTCATCATTTAAACACAATTTATTTTTCCATCTCCTCAGTAATCAATCTTCCGAATATATGTAAAGTTATTTTGTGCTCTAGAGATGTCAGCTAAATTATGCCTATATCTTGCAGATATCTATGTATGTGTCATATTGCTTATTTGTACAAATACGTGAACTCAACCGTATATATTAATCTTTAAATTCTTATGTCTACTTCAAGATCATATGTTTACTACAGTGCCTTTTCTTTATTTTATTTTTAATTTTCATTTAATAATCCATAATCGCCAGTAAAGTCAATTTTTTCAACAATATATATATACATATATATTCTCCAGATGTGTTATTTTAGCACGTTTTGCGTTATTGTTGGCCGTTTAATTACAAACGACGCTTGATTTTCAGCTTGAAAATTTGTTGTTGAAAAAATTGACTTTACGGGTGTTTTTTATTGCCTAAACCAATTATATTTTAATATGTTTTCATGTTTTCTTATTTTCTGACTATCCAGCTTTAATAAAAGACGCACTATAACGAAATTAAGCCAAATGCTGATTCTCAGTGACCAAAAAACTAACTAAAGTCAAAGTCATCAGTCCGCCATGTTTGGGACAGTTCGTTCACTTTTTTTATGGAAACATTGGCTTTTTTTTAATAAATTGTTAAAAGGAACACAACGATATGCAATTTATAGGGATGTGGGGAGGACGGAGGGAGGTTCACGGTAGGGGGATCTAGTCCACCGTGTAAGTGTGGATATTTTAGATAAGACATTTTTAAATCTGTTATCCACAAAAGTGGTTTGAATCTATTGCATCTTTTTCTTTCTTTTTTTTTTTTTTGCCTATTGCTAATCATTATCATTGTTTGCACTTTGTCAGATTTTATCGAATCAGTCACCTAGAAAATGGCTGATATATATCTTTACTTATAATTTTCTGTTTTTAGAAATTCGGCCAATCAAAAGCTGTTAGTCATCTGACATTCCTACTGTTTGATAGAATTGTCAAAACATGCTGTTATCTCGTGATTAATTCTGTAGAACATCCGGATGATACCTGTTCCTACAAATCTCTTGTTTTCGAGATAAACCGTTATTTATGTCTTTCCATTTTTGGTTGGGAGGGCCATGGACCTAAAAAAATTTTATATATTTTTTTATATTGCTTTTAACTTCTTCCTGCAGAGCCAGAGGAATTGTCCTGATAAAAACCTATAACGTAGGTCGAAACGTAGACAAATACTATAAAATACTATTATAATATATAGCATTAAATACTGAACCAACTTCTTTTTTTTTTATTTTAATGAAATTTACAACTATATTACATTAAAAATACAACAAGTAAATGTGACATTGGTAACATGACATGTAAAACATGAAGAGAAATTATCCATTGGTAGATACTTCTTAAAATATGTATATGTTTATATATCAGTTTGTTTATTTTCATGCGGGTTTTTGGCAATATGTTAACTAAACAATAGAATATATCACATATTTTTGTTTTTATTTAAAAGTTTGAATCTGTGAGGTAAATTCTCAATTCTTCGAAGCTTCAATTTTGCCGCGGAAAATGTGATAAAATCTACACGTAAAAATAGAAGAGTGTTCATGAATGGATCATACAATCCTAGGATATGTTGCTAAATATAATTATATTTAAATACAAACTAAAATTTCAATAATAGAAACATATGATGTGGTAAAATACTTGAGTGCCTACTTGTAGGCCTTTGCTTCTAGTTGACTTTTACTATTTTCTTAATTTAATTTAATTTATACATTTTATTGATTCATGTTAATTAATTGTTACTGATTTTTATTTTATTTTCATTCTTCGAAATATTGGAGGGTGAAACGATGTTCTTTCTTTCTCTCTATTTCTATTAGAGGAGAATGGAGGAGCGATCGCCACGAAGTCTGCTCAGCGCCTATGGCCCCCAATATTTAGGAAACTAAAGAAGTTAAAATTTAAAAAATAATTTAATTTAAAAAAATCATCGTATTTAACCTAAGGAGAATGTACCTGCATTTCATCTTAAACTGTAATACACTTCTTTCTCGACCTCATGTGTGCCGTCAAGCTCGGATTTGCATTCCATCTAGCCTAATGGGTCCTGTCTCTAGCTATTCTTCTCATCTGCAGTATGGTGCGACCTCTTGCTGCCCCCAGTTTTCAATGTAATCCAAGTACATATACCTGTACCTGGGTCTGCCACGATGGCGTCTTTCTTCCGATCTGGTTTCCAAGTATTACCCGGATTTTCTGGTATCGTCCAGCCATTCCACAGACAAGTCCGTACCATTTTAGTTGCCTCTCACGCATGATGTCGACCCAAATTTTTTTCATTTCTGACCCAGTCCCTCCTGGTCCTCGGAGAAATCTTATTTATGTTGATGTAAGCCTACTGAGGTGTTTGTCGAGGGCTGTCCACCTTTCTGAACCATACTGCGTGG